TACAAGTATCAGCATGCCCCCCCCCCTGGAGCTGCACGTTACAATCTTTTTCATGAGCTGATTGCAATGTGTGGGGCGGTGGTGAAATCGCACGCTCAGATTGGATGGAAAGGAGTGCCCGACGGCATGGGGTGGGAAAATGTCTGATCTTTGCCGAATGAATTGTTAACTTGTGTATCTGGGTTGAATATATTTTTTGTTGCTGTGGTCACCTGATGGGCACACACAATGTGTATATGTTACTTGATGGGAGTATCTATATACCTAGTATGTCATCATTAGGATAAATGTTTGATGTTCATTTTTTAGACTTGCCCTCCCCTGCTGAACTACAAGTATCAGGATGCCTTTGATGGGCTTGGATGTTCTTCTGGAACTACAAGTATCAGCATTGGCTTGTAGGCTGCTGTAGCTTCAGAGGTGACCACTTGTGGTTGCTGAGCTGCTGGTGGACTACAAGCATCAGGATGCCTTTGATGGGCTTGGATGTTCCTCTGGAACTACAAGCATCAGCATTATCGTGCAAGCTGCTGAAGCTCCCGAGGTGACCACTAGTGGTTGCTGAGCTGCTGGTGGACTGCAAGTATCAGAATGCCTTTGCTGGGCTTGGATGTTCTTCTGGAACTGCTGTCTTGTAGGTTGCTGAAGCTCCAGAGGTGACCACTTGTGGTTGCTGAGCTGCTGGTGGACTGCAAGCATCAGAATGGCTTTGCTGGTTTACCCAACTGGGGGCTTGAACGTTCTTCTGGAACTACAAGTATCAGCATTGTGTTGTAGGCTGCCTGAGCTCCAGAGGTGACCACTTGTGGTTGCTGAGCTGCTGGTGGACTACAAGTATCAGGATGCCTTTGCTGGGCTTGGATGTTCCTCTGGAACTACTGTCTTGTAGGCTGCTGAAGCTCCAGAGGTGACCACGTGTGGTTGCTGAGCTGCTGGTGGACTATAACCATCAGCATTCTCTGCTGAGGTTCCCTGTGGTTGTATGGGTTTTGTAGGAGTCTGTTAGCTTCTCACGCTCTTGTTACAGTGACCTACTAGTTGTGGGACTACAGGTCACAGCATGCCTTATCAGGCTACTTGAGCAGCATCCCTCTGTCTGGCTCTGAGGGAACGATGAGTAACACCCTATGTCTCAGGCTTCTGGATCTCCAGTCATCTAGCAGTCTATTTGTTGTATGACTACAGTTAGTCTCAGTTGGTGGCGGTCTGCTCTGGGGGGGGGAACCAGGTGTAACAAACATGTCTCAGGCTTCAGGCTGAGTCATCTAATGGTGTTCTGTTTGTTGTAAGGCTACGAGTACCAGCATGGCCAACTGGGAGTTGGCTGAGTCAGTGGGGGGCTCTGCATTACAGACGTCTCAGCAAGATGCTCTAGAGCTGTAAAGTCCAGAACTTTTTGAGCTCTGTTGACACGTGGTTGCCTAATTCTTTTTGGAACGAAGGTCTAGAGCTGTAGACCTTTTGTAGTCATCCAGGTCTTCAGAACTAGAAAGAACAGCACGTGGAGCTGGAATAATTCCTAGTTCCCTGTCCGTTAACCACAACCACCAGCTTACATCATCTAAGCCTTGACCATCTTGGCCAGCAGCCACTCAGGTCTTGATGGACTACAAGTCCATGTGAAACCACAAGTTTGACCATAACTTGCCTGGCATCTGGTCTTCCAGCTACCCCATTCAAGAAAATACCTCCAAGTAAGGCTTACTATGTAGACCTTGTTGCAAAATGTGCCAGCATGGCTGGCTAGCCATTACCAATCCTTGGGGAATGACCAGATCACCATGGACAAGAAGGCCTATAGCTCTCGTGGTCTTGTGGTTCCATCATGCCCCTTAAATGGCTGGGTATCATTAGATAGGGCGGACCTTCCAATGTCAAGATAACTGTGTGGAACTGAAACTGCATGCCCTGCCATGGCCAAGAAGGCCTATAGCTCTCATGGTCTTGTGGTTCCATCATGCCCCTTGAATGGCTGGGTATCATTAGATAGGGCGGACCTTCCAATGCCAAGATAACTGTGTGGGATTGAAACTGCATGCCCTGCCACCTCCCGGGCTACAAGTTCTAGCATCCCCCATGGCCAACAAGGTATTTGCCTATTCCTGAACCACACGTCTCAGCATGCGTTTCTAAGCGTGGCAATTCTATAGCTGAGTGCACAGTCCTAAGTCCTCTCCCGCACCTGCGTTAGCAGTCTTTGCACTGCAGTAATTCCGGCTAAAGATTTACAGATCCACGGGTAGACTTTGTAACTCTCTATAGAAGACATACCAAATGACGAACCCTTTTAGTCTTGTTCTATAGCATTCCATATCTTATCCTGCGCTATAAAAGCCTTATTTAACGCACAGTTACAATACAATCGACCTAGATAACTTGGTTCATTTCCAATGACGGTTTGCTACTCAACCATCTCTGGCACCTCCTCCACTGGATTGTAGAATACCGTTGTGTATTGAGAACACAACATCTTCGTTAATTATTGACCTAAAAGCCCCAAGGAAACCACAAAAGGCCAAGAAAAGGAATCACAGCTTGATCTATACTTTCTGCCGCCCTAGGCCAACTGTGTCCCCCTCCTTCCCCCGCCCAAGCACAACTGATTGTTCCTCCTCCTCCCCTGCCCAAACGCAATTCATTGACCTCCTGTTCCCCCTCCCTAATTGCATGGGAGACCCTTCATTGTATTATGTCTGGCTGTTATTCTTGTGCATGTTTATGGGATGGCTTCAGGAGGATAGTTTTGCTGAGGGGTGGCATTGTTGAAGATGTGACCAGATGATGGTGATGGGCAGGGCAGTGGGAAGGAACCTTTTATTGTTTCAGAGAATGTGTTACGTTCTGTCCATAACATGATGTGCAAATAACTGGGTGCTGCCCTTGGAGGCCATGATGTCCTAGGCCATTGGCTGTTGCCTTTGGAGAAATACAGCGCATACAGAAAGGAGGGGGTGGGTGGGGGGTTATTAGCTCACTGGTCATAATGGAAAACTTAGGTCATCTCTAGGGACAGTCCCTGGAAATAAGAATAGTTGGCAGCTAGGGAATAACTCAAATCCGAACGTAAAGGAGGCGTTTATAAATTGAGACCTTTAGAAAGCTGTTCACCTGGCTGAGCATTGCTTTGAAATTTTCCAACCTTTAAGGGACACACCCATGTGTGATGTTCACAAGCAATACGCTACCACGGGAGGTTGAGTAAAGCTTCTGAGAAACGTACTGCATCATCGATAGTGGTTCCTTCTCATCTCAATGTCGCATTTGGCTTAAGTATAGTAAAGTGTCAAGGGTCAGCCCTCGATACCACGCTGTGCCTAAGCCAAATGCAACGTTAGGACGGGTCAGGGACAATAACCAATTGTTTTGTCCGGTCGTTGATCGTGCCCACCTATAGCTTCTCAAGACCTCTCAATAGCAGCTTGAGAGCCAGCAGCTATGAATAGGAAAGATTATGGTCTATGGTCACACCCATCTATAGCTTCCCAAGACCATTAAATGGCAGCTTCTTGCCTGTACATTAGACAGGTACACTTTTAGCCAGTGGGTAGGGGTAGGACAGATTGTTTCAAAGGTGGTCCATGGTCATGCCCACCTATAACTACCCAAGACCACTAAATGGCAGCTTCTTGACTGTAGGACTTACAAGTAAACTTCAAGTCAGTGGATATGAATGGGGCAGATTATTTCAACCGTGGTCAATGGTCACGCCCATCTATAGCTTCCCAAGACCACTAAATGGCAACTTGTTGACTGTTCACCATACAAGTACACTTCTAGCCAGCAGGTATGGACAGGACAGATTGTTTCAATGGTGGGCAACGGTCATGCCCATCTATGACTTTCCAAGGCCACTCAATGGCAGCTTCTAGACTGTAGGACATACCGGTACACTTCAAACCGGTCAACAGGTATGAATAGGATAGGACAGGTTGTGTCAACTGTGGTCGATGGTCACACCCATATAAAACTTTCCAAGACCGCTAACTGGCAGTTTGTTGACTGTGCTCCAGATAAGTACACTTCAAGCCAGCGGGTATTGGCAGGAGAGATTGTTTCAATGGTGGACAATGGTCATGCCCACCTATAGCTTCCCAAGACCATTAAATGGCAGCTTCAAGACTGTCGAACATACATGTACAACTTGGACCAACAGGTATGGATAGGACAGATTGGTCAATGGTCTATAGCTCCTCAAACATCAGACAGGCACACTTCTAGCCAGTGGATATGGATAGGACACATTATTTCAACGGCGGTCAATGGTCAAACCCATCTCTAGTTTCCCAAGACCATGAAATGGCAGCTTCAAGACTGTAGAACATACAGGTACACTTCAGACCAACAGGTATGGATAGGACAAATTGGTCAATGGTCACAGCCATTTATAGCTCCTCAAACATCAGACAGGTACACTTCTAGCCAGTGGTTATGAATAGGACAGATTATTTCAACAGTGGTCAATGGTCAAACCCATCTTTGGTTTCCTAAGACCACGACATGGCAGTTTCTAGACTGTAGAACATATAGGTACACTTCAGGCCAATAGGTATGGATTGGGTAGGTTGGCCAATGGTCATAGCTCCTCAAACATCAGACAGGTACACTTCTAGCCAGTGGTTATGGATAGGACAGATTATTTCAACGGTGGTCAATGGTCACATTGTTTCCCAAGACCAGAATATGGCAGCTTCTTGACTGTAGGACAGACAGGTACACTTCAGGCCAACCGGTATGGGCAAGGCAGATTGGTTAATGGTCACAGCCACATAAAGCTCCT